TAACAAAAAAAAAAAAAAAAAAAGGAAGTAGTCCTCTTCATTTTTTATTTTTTTGTTTTATCTGTTGATTAGGGCCGGAGGAAAGTATTGTTGGGTTGGTTTCCTACCTGCGTTTTCCCTCCCACCCACCCTTTGCATGCATTTCCGGGTTGTTACATGACCAGTGACACGTCAGCAGTGCCACATCAGACATTGACACATCAGCTACAGTGACACGTCAGCAGGCCATGTCAACAGTGACATGCCAGCTACAGTGACATGTCAGCAGTGCCACGTCAGACACAGTGACATGTCAGCTACAGTGACACGTCAGCAGGCCATGTCAGCAGTGCCACGACAGACACAGTGACACATAAGCAGTGCCACGTCAGCAGTGCCACGTCAGACACAGTGCCATGTCAGACACAGTGCCACGTCAGCAGTGCCACATCAGCAACATGACGGGCCTGCCAGGCCAACTGGCCAATGAGCCCATTGCGGACTACAAAATGCGCTTCTAGGCTCAGCTCGCTCTCATTGAGGCTGAGGAACAATGCCAGCTGGCAGCCGCGGCTGCCAGCCTACAGGCTGAAGAAGCGGCAACAGCAGAGAAGCTGCGGCTACAGGCCGAAGCAGACGCAGATGCCCAGGCTCGCCACAAGGAAGCCCAGGATCTGCTGCAGCGGCATGAGGCCAACAGCATCGAGAGACTCAAGTTCTGGCACTTTGAACCAAACGGCGTAGGCAACACCGGAAGAGCAGCATAAGGAGTTCCTCTCCAAACTCGTGACTCGGTTGTTGTGTGCTTCCAACTACCAACGGTCCGAGTTAGAGAAACAGAACCAGGAACTGCAGCAACAGTACCAGGATCTGAAGACACAGCACCAGGAGTTGGCGAACCTCCGTCGGATGGTGCAGAGCCACGAGGATGCAACACGGGCACTCAATTCCTGTGTACTGGACCTAGAACAGGCTGTACCAGGACCAGATGCTGGGGCTTCCAAGAGTGCACCCTCTAGTCGCGAACTGGAGGAACGCGTTGACCACGTAGTGGCAATGCTGGGCGACATCAGCAACTTCGCTGTGCCAACCACCATCAACAGCCAGCTGGACACGTTGAAGACCGAGGTCCAGCAACTGCAGTCGACGAACACGGATGGCAACAATCCAAAGCAATACAAGATGCCAACCTTCCAACTAGAGAAGTTCGACGACTACACACATCAGGATCCGGTCCTTTGGTGGGAAGCTTTCACGACTCAACTGCGGATTCTGCCTGTCGCCAAGCACGCGTACATCGGCGCCCTGTTCATGAACTCAAAGGGCGGATGCCAGATCTGGTTGACTCACCTGGCAGCCACCCACAGCGTAGACGTCGCCGATCTGAAAGACAAGATCACATGGGAAGAGTTGACGCGGCTCTGGAAGAAGCGGTTCATCGTCGACAACGCACCAGCACTAGCCATCAACCGTCTCTTCACCATGTCTCAAGGCAACACAACAACTCGTGATTGGCTCGCGAAATGGCATAAGATCGTGGCAGTGCCCGATTTGGACTTACCATTCACGCATCTACGCCGTGAGTTCTACAACAGGTCATGCGCTGCGCTGAGCCAGACACTTGGTGATCGCGAGTAGTATGCAACTTTCGTCGAGATCATTGACAAGGCAAGAGAGATCATCAAGACCAACAGGGCGGCTGCACATGAGAAGTCCACGTGGCAGCCAACCTATATGGAGAAGGTAAGAACTGGTCCGCGACAGCAGCAGTTCGCTGCAGTCCAATCGGACAACACTGTGGAAGACCCGACAGCCACCCAAGCATCACGTGAGGGAGATCAGGTGGCTGCTGTCCAACCGCGAAGCAACAAGCCCCGAGTGAACGAGAAGGCGAAACCAGCATCGCAGGCCGGAAATGGACAGCCAGCACCACCATGGGTCAAGTTCGGCTTGACCGAGGCCGAGTACAAGTACCGCGGCCGTTACGGCTGCTGCTACTTGTGCAACAGCACCAAGCACAAGACCTCCCTTTGCCAGGATCAGGTCAAGGAGGATGTGCGGCCTCGTCTTAACTCGGGAAACTGAGTTGCGCAGGAGGTGAGGCGACTCCACCTCTCACTCCGCCAGATTCGGCCGCCTTGCTAGCGGCCTCCTACACATCTGGGGAGGATGCGAATGTCGCAAGTCCTCGGTACACTTACGAGGATTATGCTGTCCACTTGGTTCCACTGCTGGACCAACCGCTCCACGTGCAACACTCTACCGCATGCACGGTTTCATCACCATCGGCAACCGATTCGGGAGCTTCGCCGTCATCTACCGCCGGGGATTCAACGTCATGGTCAAGACTTGAAGAGCTCGACCCGTTGACTTTTGAGGACTTCCAATGGATACCCGTGCCTCGATCCGGCCGAAACCGCATTGCAACGTGCTCAAAGCACAATTGCGGGATTACTTGCACATTGCAGTACCGACTCCGTTGATGGACGCCGGAGTAGAGGTTGTCGACCTTCACGCCTACATTGCGAAGATCGACCGCGAGTTCAAGACGCAACGGTACGACGACATTGGCGCACTATTGCTATATGTACGCATTCAGATCGGAGAGGCGATCTGCAACGCTTTGATCGATTTCGGAGCATCTCGCAACTACATGAGTCAGGACTTTATGGTACGTGCCGGCCTTAGCCCACGAGTCCGAAGGAAGTCCTAGGCCGTGCAAGTCACGTTGGTGGACGGTCACACGCACAAGTCAATCGACCGGTGCATTGATGACGTCCTAGTGTACTTTGCCCCTCACGCAAGTGAGGCCTTGTCCTTTGACATTCTAGACACCAAATTCGACATGATCTTGGGCATGTCATGGCTGCGAAGCGAGGACCACCCGGTGAACTTCTATCGCCGCACCGTTCACGTTCGTCATCGAAACGGAGTACTAGTCCCATGCACGGTAGCTCCTTCTCACCCTTCAGTCAGCTGTCACGTGGTATCCGCCGCAAGCATGCGAGCTTACATCATCAGAGACAACATCGAGGAGATGGGTGTGTGTTTTTTCCACGCCCTCCCGCCCCATGACGCTTCATCGACGGACTCTTTTTCGGATCCACGCATCACCGAGCTTCTCGACGTCTACAGCGACGTGTTCGAAGGCCCACACAGAGTAGTACCGGATCGCCCCATCCGCCACGAGATCATCCTTGAGGACGGGGCCGTACCTCCACGCGGTTGCATCTACCGAATGAGCGAGGAAGAGTTAAGTGTGCTTCAGGCTCAACTCGACAACCTTCTGGAGAAAGGCTGGATTCGGCCTTAGCTCATCGCCATACGGTGCTCCTGTTCTCTTCGTTCGGAAGAAGAACAAGGATTTGCGGTTGTGCATCGATTATCGCAAGCTCAACGCGCAGATGATCATAAACGCCGGCCCTCTCCCACGAATCGACGATCTTCTCGAGCGACTGGGTGGTTAAGTTCTTTTCCAAGCTCGATCTCAAATCGGGATATCACCAACTCGAGATCCGGCAGGAGGATCGTTACAAGACCGCGTTTACAGTCAACCGATTGATTGCACGGAGGAAGATTCATTTCTTCTCTCCTGATTTTGGCGAAGCGCTCCTGCTAGCCATCAATATTCCCCCGATGTGTGGGCCAGCAACCCACCTTCACGTCTCTCTTATGTGCAATCACGCAGCATCTTTGGACAATTTCTTTATATTTTATCTTGATTTGATCTGTGCAAAGATGCCGAGAAGAGGACAAGCAAATAGTCTGTCCCAACCTCAGGCCTACTATTAAACTTTCAAATTTTGTAGATGTCGTGGAGAAGGGGGGAGGCAGAGGACTCTTGGCAATCTCTTCGTTGCAGGTGCGATCCCCCACTGCCTGCCCCAATCGGTCATCAATATGGAAGGAAATTATCGCGACCAATGGGCCTACCTCAGTGGTACACACATCAGCTGTAGAATTACAGACCTAGGTTTGAATCTCAATCGACTCGAATGAGTTAAGTAACTCTGTGATGAACCGATTTCTGTTCCGCGCGACTTTCTGCGCAATAACAATGAGGAGTCCTTATTTGGGAAGGCTGGGCCAATTACGGGAGATTGGGATTGAGGGAGAATTGCATCAGTGTCCTCGCTTTTTCGTCTTTTCTCGTTCGCCGCTTCTTTTCGGATGGCTGGATTCAGGCCCGGGCAAGCCTCAGGATGATTGATTGAATGGTTGTCGCGCGGACCAGGCGCGATTAATAATGGTTGACGTCGGTTATTTTCTGTGTTGTTGTTAGATTTACGCGTGAAGGTCGCGCGGGAATTTTGTTTCGTTCTTTTTGAAATTCTTTTTCGAATCTTGTCGAGCCCTTGACAGCTCTTGGAACTTCGGATTTTGTTTTCGGAATTTGTGCTTCTTTTTGCATTAGCTAGGAATTTAGGAATTCGGGATTTCTTTTGGTGTGCGTCGTCCTTCTTGCGCGCTTCTTTTTGCGGCTGTAGTGGAGCTCTGATTAGTTGGCGCCCTTAATCTTGCAAGTAACTATAATTTTGGGCGGGCGCCATTGTAACTGTATCTTTCTTCTTGAGCTTCGTCTTTCCCGCTCTCCCTTTTTCCTTTTGTTGTGCCTAGTTAGCCCGCAGCCTGCATGCTCGGATCGATGCATGGAGAGTGGCTACGTCCCCCACACCGCGATCTGGCCATGTAGAACGCATGCGCTCCCTCTCCTAATCTCCTTTCTAAGTCCTTGCAATTCTGTGTTCTTCGCGCGTGCATGCACGCTATAAATTTCGGTTGCACGATTAGATAGCTCTCTTAACCAATTGTTGGAAGCTTGGGGAGCGCGATCAGTGAGGATCGGCTCGCGAGCGAAGTAAGAGGTGAGTTGAACTGGGAGTCGAGCGACCCGACGAGCTGGTGCCGAACGTTCGGGGTTGACGCGGGCCACGACGAACTCTGGGCACGGGCGAACCTGTCCGGTGCGGAAGAGGACTAAGCAGGTTGATAACTTCGTGGGCCGGTGCGTGACGACGGACTGTCCGCATCGGAGAGGAAGAAAGAAGAAGAGGGAGCTGAGGTTGATGGACGTGGTTTGCAATTTTCCTTGTCTTGTCTCCCTCCTTGCTTTTGTATATAAATTTTGATCTCGGCTCAGGGCGATTCGCCTGTTCTCTTTTGTTTTCGGAATCTTGGCTTGGTTTCCGCCCACACTCGTTTTTGCGATTGGTCTCGATCTCGTTTATCGCGTGTTATGTCGAATGAATGGATGAATGAATGCTATGTCGGTTTGCTTTTCCTTTGTCTGTCCGTGCCTTCGCTTGCCATTTTGATACCCTTGTGAGCATAGTAGGAACTTTCGCATGGTCGTCACTATGGCTGTTTGTTTTCTTTGATCTACTGTTGTTTGATGTGCAGTAGCACCTTGTATGCGCAGGAATGGTTGGGCGCGGGATCACAGAGTGATTAAATGATTGGGTGGTTGATTATCCAAAAACAAACGAATACCTCGTGGGGGTGCATGTAAGCGCGATCTGATCTGCGCAGTTTACACGTATCCACGCGCGCCAATTCATGACCATCGACGAACTTGACACCTTCAGGCAGACGGGAATTCGCACCTAAACGGAAAGGAATTTCGATATGACGACGAAACATCCCCTTGCCGATTAAACGCGTGTGGAAGAAATCTATCACAACGCAATGATAAGATGTCGAGCTCCTGGGACTCGGAGTACTTTGACTCTTGGGTGAGGGAATGCATTAGGCAAAGATATTCGGAATTCCCTTTCTTAACCGAGAATCGATTGTGCCCCAGGGAGTTTCACTGTGCCGTAACCAGCGATCCGAGGTGCCCCGATTAACAACGGATAACTCACACAACTTCATATCCCTCGGTTTCGTCGTTATCACTACTAATTTCCCTCCCTTCCGTCTCCTCCTCCCGTATCACCAACTCACGGTGGTTCCGTGGAACTCCATCGCCCCGTACTGGCCGCGCACGCCTTATGGGAATTGTCGACCACGCGGCAACCGACGAGCCCCTGAAACTAGGGGGCCTAACCAAAATGCGTGACGACAGACGCCACGTGTCTGCACCCAAAGGTCCGACCTCGACTCCACATCCACTTTCCCAAAAAATCCTTGGCACACCCCTTTTCGCACTTTTAGGCCCACATCCCACTCCGATCAGGAAGTCGCGCTGGGCGTGAGGTTGGTAATGGAGCCCGACACGTGGCAGGGTTCTAGGACTCATATCTTGGCGATCTGGCTAATAGGGGGCGACCTCCACCCCGAAACGTGCACTGACGCGATCCCGTCGTCACCAGAAACCGGTCTGGGGCTCGACGGGCGGTCAATATGAATGCTAATCAGCAGAACCCCCAACAAAACCCGAACCCCCAGCAGAACCTAATAAACTCGTACCACGAGCACGGGCTCGCATGACCCCACGCGATCTTTATCTATTCCATCCTGCTCATCACCTCGCTGGGGCATGGCTAGCCACGCTCCGGGCTCAACTGTACGATGATAACGAGGCTCAAGTGAACATCCCTGCACGATTGGGAGGAGATGCCTATCACTGGTTTAGTACCTATATATGGGTCGATCTCCCGACATTCGAGCGAGATTTTTTGAACCGATTCGATTACATCCACCCAGAACAGACTCTCTTTATGATCAAAGATCGAGTTCAAAAACCCTTCGAATTTGTTACTGAGTATCGAAACCAATTCTATAGGATGTTTATGAAAACAAAACGAGGCGAACAAGTAGGCAGAGATTTGTTCATTTATGGACTTCTCAGCCGCAGCCGAACGATGATGGTGAAACTGCGAAAGCAGTTTTCCCCCATCAATCACACGCTGCAACAGATCATGGCAGCCACGGAAGAAATGGAACAAAAGTTCGCTGCGAGTTTCTTAGAGGGAGAAGACTATCCTAGGGAAGGAGACTCGTCTGAACTAGTGAGAGCTAAAGCTGAGTTAGCTGCCCTGCAGAACAAATTTGAAAACATGGGGTTTGTGTCGGGCCTTGTCACCTATCTGGAACAGATTGGTCCCAAATAACCGGTCCCGAGTGTGACTACGAGCGTTCCCGTGCCCGTGATGACAGCACACCCGCGACCAATCGAAACCCCCGCACGACCGAATGAGTCTTCCGCCCTATTAGAACTAACCAAGACATTGGTTACTCTGATTCAAGAAAGCAAAAAGAACAGTGGGAACACAAAGCTCGAATAGAAGAAATGATGAGGTCGATGCATCCAATAGCGGTGCATGCCGCCTCGATTCAACACGGATTGGCCCCGGCACCCCCTCCTGCAGGGATCCCTGGCAATCTGAACGTTTATTTCACGTGTCACCAACCAGGGCATATAGCTCGAGATTGCCCTCATCGACCCCCACAGCAACGAGTCGGAGCCGCACCACTAGCAGCGGCCCTGATCGCCTGGGTTGTCAAGCCATGGCCTCGGGGCCCCGGCGGGGGTCCGGGGGTCCGGGGGTGGGCACCCCCAGCCCCGGCTCCAGACCCCCCCCCCAAAAAAAAAAAATCAAAAAAAAAAAATCAAAATAGTGGGGGGTGCGCAGCGAGAGCGCGCACCGCATGGGCTAAACCCCAAAAATGGGGTTTTATGCCCCACCCCGGACCCCCCCCGGGGCCACACCCACCACTC